AACGGTTTTCTTCGGCTAATGTCAGAGACCTGCAATCGGATTTGCCCAAGCAGGCACCCAATAGCTTGCACTGAAGCCGGCTGAATTACATGTCGTTCGGTTCTTGCCCGTCTCTGCGACGTCACTGGAGTTGTCTGGGATATCGGGGAAGGAAACTGGGACCAGCGTGATCAGTGCAACGGAAAGATTAACTGGCAGAAAGCAGAGAACATTACGTTAAGGCGCTCGGGCCGTGTTGACAGCCCCGCTTGGCTGAGGCAGGTTCTTGACTCCAGGCGTTTCTCTTGGGCGGTTATTGGAAGTGGCACTTAACAGTAACGGGACGTCTCTTAGAGGCCGGGTGCTTTGCCCATCCGTTAGAAACAGGCCAGGTCAGGAGGTAGAGCCAAGGGCAGCTCCACACCCAGCCAGCAAACAATGAACCAATAATTCAGTCAGCCCCGTCTCTCCAGGAATGCTGCCCTTGCCCCTGAAATCCAGGAAACAGGGCTTGGAACAGGTCCCTGAGTGTTAACAGCGTCTGGGCTGTTTCAGAGCAGAGCAGGGGGTGGGTCCCAGCCTGGAGGACCCCTCCTGGGTGTAGTAGTCAGGTATCACCGGTGACAGATCTCCGGCTCAGCTGGTGGTGATGACTGTTTGGCTGTGTGTGTGTGCGGGCTGTCCTGTGGGCGGTGTTGATTTTGTGCAAGCGTCAACACGGCAGACTCCAAGAGAGCCCCAAAGATCATAAAATCAGAGAAGGATCGAAGGCGCCGGCCAGGTTTTCCGTCAAACGAAGTACAGCAACGGTCGTCAGTAGACTGTACGGGACTGTACGATGGACGTGACTCAGTGGGAGGCCCCGCTGCCCCCTCAGCCGGGCAAAGACAGCCCCTCCACGACTCCGCTTTATAGGCAGGAACGAAGACCTGTTGCACCTCGCTCCTGACGTCGTCAGGTTCCCACCCTCTGACGGTACCTAGACACCACCCTGCGCCTGGTCGGTGGGTAGGACATCTCCATCCCGAGCTGTCGTTATCGACCCTGTCCTGACCCCGTGGGGGCGTGGCCCTTTGTAACGAGGGGGTGTTACCATCCGTCTGCAATGGGTCTGTGCCCAGGGCCAATTAGCGCTTCACAGCCGCCACCTGGTCCCCGTTGCTGTCCTGCCCCCGGGCCTAGGGCCAGTGAGTGTGTCACACTCTCAGCCCTGTTCCCGCCAGCTCCCGTGAGCTGGGCCTGCCTCTTGCCCACCGCTTAGCCAGGTGCTAGCCACTGTTAGCCAGGCCTCAGGCCTTGCACCCGGCCTGTGCTACGTGGGCTTCTGTTTACCCCACTGGGGACCCCGGCAGAGAGCTCCCCCCGGAGCCCTGCTGGGGAGCATTGGGGATGGCTGCCCAGAATCAGCCGGGCTCAGTGCAGCCCCGAGCAGGGCAGAGGGGGGTGCGCGTGCTGCCCCCAGACCCGGAGTTGTCCAGCCAGGCTGAGGTACCTGCAGCCACTGGGGCAGATGGCACAGAGGGCCTGTGTGTCATCCCTGCTGGCACTCCCACCAGGCCCTCTTCCCCTGGTGGTCACACGGCTGCCACGCGTCCAGGCCCTGCTCACTGGCCATGGGCTGGGTCCCCCCTCGAGATCTCACCGAGCCACCCTGGCATAGCGGTGCCTCAGTTTCCCTATGTGAGCTCGTTTGGGGTCGAGGGAGGCCAGTACGACCAGCCCGGTCCTTTTGCTGCTCAGCTCCATGCTAAGCCAGTAAGCAAAAGATGCTGGGAGCAGCATATAAAGTCTTGAGCAGCGTGGAGAAGACGGGGGAGAACACCCTGGAAATCGAAGTGGAGCAGCTGGCTTTCTCCAAGGGGAAACCAGCGCACGATACGGTTTCTTGTGGGATCGAGGAGGGTTGACACTGGTGCTCGGCAGGATACTCGCCATGGTAGCAACGGGGGTGGGGCTGGCTGCATTCAGAGATGGAGAGACTTGGCTGGGCTGCTTGGGCAGCCATCCAGGAGAGAGCCACATGCCGCCCATCTCCCCAGCAGAGCGCCCCCAGCCGGCAGCCTGTGTTTCTGTGGGTGGTGCCCATCTGCACTTGCCTCGGTGCACAGAACACAAGTTATTGCGCACATGGGTGTTAGACATGAGAGGGGACATTGGCCATGAGTTGCATCTCGGCGAGGTGCAGCAAAGCCCCCAGCTCTGGCAGCGAGGCTCCGGGAGCAGTGACGCGGAGCCCGGTCCCAGCCGATGGAAAGGGGGGCGTGGCGGAGGGCGGGGGGCAGGCTGCCAGCTGAGGAGGGTTGACACTGGTGCTCGGCAGGATACTCGCCATGGTAGCAACGGGGGTGGGGCTGGCTGCATCCAGAGATGCAGAGACTTGGCTGGGCTCCCCTCCGGGAGTCTCTGCTAAGTTCCCAGCCAAGGGTGCTGGGGGCGCTAGGCGGGGGAAGGAACTGACCAGCCTGGCCCCCCCATGCTCCGCCTCCTGTAGGCACACTGGGGACAGAGGGTTGCTGCCCCCGAGCATCCACCCTCCCCGTGCGCTGGGCTGGGGAAGCTGGGGCCATGTGCCTGCCTGCCCTCCCCGTGCTGGGAGGGGGGTGTTGCAGTGCGCTGCCCCGCCTCCCTGTGGTGCGTGGGGGAGGCGGGGCCTTGACCGAAGGGGCGGGGCTGGGGGTTTGCTTCCCTCTGTGCTATCTTCACCCCCCACCCATGTTTCCAGCAGTGGAACATGCTCCCTCTCCCCGCTCCTGCACCGTGGTGCCTCGGTGCAGGGACAATGCCTAGCAGGGTTGGCCACGGAGCATGGTTTGGATCCCTGGATTTGGAGGGGCGCACTGAGCTCTGGCTCTCAATCGGGGGGGAGGGGGAGCGCTCTCGCGCTTACCGTGCTAATACTAAGAGTTCACAAAGGGCTAGTGAGTGACACGTCTCCAGGACGGATTGCCGCTAAATAAAACTTACCAAGTGGGCTGGTTAATCAAGCGTCAATTACCCAGGAGGAGGCTGCAGAAAACCCGCCCTTTGTGCCGCCAGCGCTTGCTTTTTGTTTGCCAGTTGCTCTTGTTCTGTTCTTTGTTCTTGTTGACCTCAGGCCTCCTGCGGTGGGAGCCCAGGTAGGGAAGGGGGGGCCGGAGGCAGGGAGACCACAAGGCCCAGCCACAATTGGCTTGCACCGGGGTCCTCGCCCAAACGTGGGCACAGACCGACAATGGGCAGCGTGATGTGTAACGACTCAAGCCGTGGGAAGAATTCCAGCAACTCATTTTCCTGTTGCCGTGGCAAATTTCTGCCTTTCGTTGACAACAAAACATTTTGGGGGGATTTTGCAGCGAAAGTCCGACAGAGCCAGGACAAATCTCCCTGCTAGCTCACCCACCTGGCTCCTGGGCATTTCAAATGCAGGTTCCCCTGACCTGGGTACCACAAGCACTGTGGGTTTGGGGATCCCGCCAGGGGACTGCTCCGGGGTCTGGGCTCCGTTCCCCGGTGGGCGAGAATCTCACCCGTTTGGTTCTCACGCCAAATTGGAACAAAACCAAACTTGGAATTGTCAGAAACGTGTGTGAAGTGCGATTGCGAGTGCGACTCATGAGTTACCTTAGAGACGTCCACGTCTCCTGATTGGGGGGCCGTGAGCCACGCGAGTGCTGCTCCTGCCCCATTCCTGCCCCACCCGCTCAGAGCCTCCACCCTCATGATTTTGGCCTCCCTGGTCACAATTTGTGCCTTATTTCTAGCTGGATTTTGTCTGGCCTTAGCTTCCATAAGAACATCAGAACGGCCAGACTGGGTCAGACCAAGGGTCCATCCAGCCCAGTGTCCTGTCTGCTCACAGTGGCCAAGGCCAGATGCCCCAGAGGGAGGGAACAGAACAGGTAATCCTCACGTGATCCCTCCCCTGTCACCCTTTTCCAGTGAAACAGAGGCTAAGGAAACCATTCCTACCCAGCCTGGCGAATAGCCATTGATGGACCTAACCTCCAGGAATCGATCTAGCTTTTTTTTGAACCCTGGTAAAGTTCTAGCCTTCACCACATCCTCTGGCAAGGAGTTCCACAGGTTGACTGTGCGCTGAGTGAAGAAAACCTTCTTTGTGTGTGTTTTAAACCTTCTGCCTATTCATTTCATTGGATGACCCCTAGTTCTTATATTGTGGGAACAAGTAAATAACTTTTCCTTAGTCACTTTTTCCACATCACCCATTGGTTGGAGTTCTGCCCATCTCTGCTTGATAGAAGAGCTCCTCCAGCCCCAGAATTGGAGTCCAGAGTGGATGAGAATATCAGTCTGTCTGTCTGTCTTTGTGCGGTTACTGGCTGTTGGGGAAAGTGGGTACAAACCTCCAGTTGCTAGAAGGAATCAGGCTGCGTCTTCGTTTAAGTTACGTGACTCCCTAAGAGGAGACGGGCGGCTCGTTGGCATCAGCACCTAAGGATGCTTATTGCTTGATTGTGACATGGACAGAGATCTTGAATCTCTTTCTCCATCTTGCTCCTAATAATTCACTCGGCCTAGCGGGTGCCGTGTACGAACCTGCAGCCGAGAGGACGGGCGTTGTGCTGGCTGTCTGCACGGGGGTGAGTTGCACCCTCCTGGCTCCCAGACTAAGATCTCAGATGTCAAATAACACACGTTGCTGCTTTTAATGAACTGTTACCGGACAGAGATCTTGAATCTCTTTCTCCATCTTGCTCCTAATAATTCACTCGGCCTAGCGGGTGCCGTGTACGAACCTGCAGCCGAGAGGACGGGCGTTGTGCTGGCTGTCTGCACGGGGGTGAGTTGCACCCTCCTGGCTCCCAGACTAAGATCTCAGATGTCAAATAACACACGTTGCTGCTTTTAATGAACTGTTACCGGGTTGTTGTGGATCAATGGGGAGGGGCGGGGGGTGGAGGCGGTCTTGCAGCCCCTGTCTCTGCCGAGCCAGGTGGCCCATGAAATGCTGGGCTGGGGGCTACAGGCGGATGTTTGGAAGTCCATGCACTACCTGGCTTTCTCCTTTCTTTCCCTTCTAGGATCCCAGGAGCAAGCACAAATTTAAAATCCACACCTACTCCAGTCCCACCTTCTGCGACCACTGTGGCTCGTTGCTGTACGGACTCATCCACCAGGGGATGAAATGTGACAGTAAGTGCAGCTCTGTGTCCAGCCACGCCTGCGATAGAGGGGCAGGGCCGGTCCCGGTGATCCGGGGCACATGCCAGGGATGAACGCCTGCTCTCATTGGTGTCCGAAGGGCCACACTTGCGCTGCCTTCCGTGGGGCTGGGAGTCCGTGGCCTGTGTCCGCTCCCAGTGGGACCGCGGCGTAGCCGGGAGAAATGCTGGTTGCCGTAGACGCGAGGTGTGCCGGGTGCGCCGGGATGCTGGCCAGTCTCTTTCCTGACCTTCGGGGGGGTCGCTCTTGCCGCTGAGAGCTCGGGCTCGTCGACACACAGAGGGCAGAGCAGACAGGGGGCTACACCTCAGGGTCTCTCCCCCTCCCCCCGACTTTTCAGAATGGGAGGTGACCTCTGACACGGGGGGGGGGGAGCAGAGATGCAGGAGGGGCAGGCCCAAAACTCCCGCCCTGGCCCCGAGAGTCAAGCTCACGGTGTCACCCGGCTCCCACCCAGTGGCCCTGCCTCGCTGCGGGATGGGAAGGGGGGCATCGCCTCGGGCTCTGGAAGGGAGAGAAATGACCGAGCTCTCTTGCCTCCTCCAGCCTTTGAACTGGACCAGCGGCGAGAGAGAATTTCCCTTCCTCGTCCCCTTTCCCCGCTGCCGAGGGGGGCTGGTGTGCAGGCCCCACGGCGCAGCCTCCCCGGAGCGGGGTGGTTCAGGGGCATTGTGAAGTGCGGGGGAGGGGCTTTTGGGGCGAGGCCGTGGGTTCGAATCCCTCCCAGTGTGGAGTGACTAGAGGCTTGTCGTGAGAGAAGCTGGGAGGCTTTTAGAATTCCCTGGGGGTGGGGTGGGGGGGGTCTCTGTCCCCCAGGGCACTAATCAGCCCCCTTGTCTGCCTCCAAAGAGACTGAACTGCCCCGACCCTGAGGCATGTGCCGGCCGCTGGCAGGGCCAACGTGAGGCCCTGTGGGGCTCTGTGCTTTGTGTGGGTGCCGGGGAAGCGAGAGGGAAACCCCGGATAACGCCAAATCCTCGCAGCCGAGACCGGCTCCTTCATAGGCTGCCCTTTGGCGCCATCTTGTGGCGGTCCCAGGGTAGCAACAAAATGCGCTCTGCGTTACGCCAAGCCGAGGAGGAGTCCGCTGGCACCTTAAGGACCAAGGCCAGGTCTACACTAAAGGGGAAGGTCGAATCAAGATAGGCAACTCCAGCTGTGTTAATTCTGCAGCTAGTCGACGTACCTTGTTTTGAGTTTCCCCGCCGTTCCCGCAGCAAGAGGCCAACAGGAGCAAACGCTCCCATCAACTTCCCTTTCTCCTTGGAGAAGCAGGAGTACCGGCCGCCAGCGGGGGGGCGCTCTCTGAGTTTGACTTAGCAGGTCTTAACTAGACTCGCAAAATCAAACTCCAGAAGATCAATTGCAGCAGCGCCAATTTTCCGTTTAATGAAGACATGGACTAACAGATTTGTTTGGACATAAGCTTTCGTGGGTAAAAAACACTTCATCAGATGCAGCTGACAAAGTGGTTTTTACTTACAAAAACCGATGCCCAAATAAATCGGTTTGTCTTTAAGGTTCCCCAGGACTCCTCCTTGTTTTTGCAGATGCAGACTCACACGGCTACCCCTATACATTAAATTAATGGAGGTTGCCTGTCTCCTAGAACTGGACGGGACCTTGAAAGGTCATTGAGTCCAGTCCCCTGCCTTCACAGCAGGACCAAGTACCATCCCTGACAATTTTTGCCCTAAATGGCCTCCTCAAGGATTGAATTCATAACCCTGGGTTTAAGCAGGCCAGTGCTCAAACCACTGGGCTATCCCTACCCCTCTGTGCCCTGTTTTTATGATGTTTGCCACTTCCATGCCCCCCTTCTGGAGCGCATTTTCTCTGCGCTCCTGCGGATGTTCAGGTGCAGTTGTTGGAAGTTGTCAGAGAGGAATGACAGGAGAGCGTTTCATTGCTCGGATGCTAATTAAGTAAATGGCACGTCTGTTACGATGGGGAAATGCCGAAACTAATCGAACTGCTGATGAATACTGACAATCTGCTCTAGCGGGAAACCCGTCCAGCCGCTGGGGGATTGCACACTCCCATGGTTCTGATGTGCCAGTTTCCCTATAAATACAGAAACCTGCTGACAGGTGCAGGCACGGCTAAGCAATTCCCCCTTCTAGATGTCACCAGGTAGAAGTCATTTTTTTATACACGTTCCACACACCTGCACAACCTCTCTGCCTTCCTGCTGTTCGTGTGTAATGTTGCAAGATGGGCATTGTGGGGGAAGAAGCCGATCAGCTGATCGAAGTCCCACCACGGTGATTAAAGCCAGCAGAAAAGCATGATGATGTTTCTGGCCCCGATCCTGAGGACAGATCCCTGTGCACATGCTGAAGCTACCTGGTGGGGCACCACCCAAAGGTCTCTGTGCCGAACCGGAGCCTGGCTCTGTAGCGGGTTCCCCCACAATCAGCTTTCGGCCCTGGGAGGCGGCTGAGGGGAGTGTGATCTCGCAGTCTCCTCGCTGGGGGGTAAATGTTGCTCTTTCCTGCTCTGCAGCCTGCATGATGAACGTCCACAAGCGCTGCGTGATGAACGTCCCGAGCCTGTGCGGAACGGACCACACCGAGCGCCGGGGCCGGATACACATCAAGGCGGATATCGACAAAGAGGTTCTCACCGTTGTAGGTAGGTGCCTGGCTGAGGATGCGGACGCCGTCAGCCCCTTTGTAACTTGCTGCTCTGGAAGCTTGGCCTGCACATCTTCTGGGCGCGTGCTTTTTAAGGGGGGAAGGTGCTGGAGCGGCTCATGCCCGTGCTAGTGCCCCTTGGGGAGCTGGGGAGACGCGCCCTCTCGATTCTCTGGTGAGCATTCGGCCTTTTCTTCCTGAGCCAGCGTCTTTAATAAACAATAATCAACTCCCAGCCTTCCCCCATCCGCTGGTCCTGCTGCTGGCTCTCAGACTTAGGCCATGGGCCGGGGGTGGTGGGTATACTAGGCAGGGGAAACCGTC